CTGGCCAGGGCCTCCCTCCCAGCCACCTGGCCGTCGTCCCCAGTCCTGAGAATCCCCAACCTCCAGGTCTCCCGGGGCCTGCCTCCCTCAGATGGGAAGGTGTCACTGAACAGTGAGGCTTCCCGGCCTCTGCCCACCTGCTCGGCTCTCTCAGGCTTCTGGCTCCTCCTGGAGAAGCGGCCTTCATCTGCCAGCTCTCCACCCCGAAGTCTGGACCAGCAGGCTCTGCAAACATTTGTGAAGAAATGAGTCATTCTGGTGCCTTGAAATAACGTTAAGGGCTTCTTTTTAGTTCTTCTGATTTTAAAAGTGAAACATTCTTTTCAAAACTTGGAAAACGCAAAATACAGAAACAGTAATACAAAACCAAAATAGAAATCCCACAACCCAGAGGTAATTACGATTTCAACTGTAGTGTGACACCTCCTAGACTTCCCTATGGGAGAGTAGAATACATACATTTCTTTGTGTATCTGTGCATTTTTGTATAATTGGACATGTGTTCATACACTTTGTTATTTTGCTTTTGTCATTCAGCATCATTTATCTTAAGTTTTCCTCGTAAGTTTTATATTTTTCTAATTATTTAAATTTCCTTTTGCTTTTTTTCTATTTAAACCTCTTAAAATTATTTAGGAAGAGCATTTTCAAATGCTGAGCAAGATTCTACGCCATGAATGCCTCCAGCTGCCGGAGATCTAGGTTGTGCTCCCTTTTTGGCTAGGGCTGCCCTGCCGGTAACTACATCATTCATTGCCCATTCCTCTCGGTACATGCAGGGACCAGATAGATGTCCTGGTGTTTGCCTATTGTTCCAGCTCAATCATTAACCAAGTCCTCCCTCACTCTCAAAGGTGTTGCTTTAGGGCAATAGATTACATGGACCTCCTTAAGAGAGCACGGAGTCCCCTGGAGACGGTGAGGGGCGGGCAGGGTGGGGGAGGTGGGTGGAGGCAGCCCTGGGCTCTGTTGTGGGGACCTGGGTGGCTGACATGACATGACCCTTCATCCCTGATCGTCTCAAGCGGAGTTTGCGGGAAGGAGAGTGAGTTTTGGACAGCTGGGTCAGAAGCATCCGGGGACGTGATCCAGGAGGCAGCTGGGACTCAATCCTCGCCCACGAGAGGCGTGGGGGGCAGGCTGGCAGTCCCTGCTCTTGCTCTCCGTGGGTGTCTCAGCAGCTCGGGGGGAGTATGCAGCAACCCCAAGCACGTCACCGAGGCCTGTGATAGGACACCGCTGAGCTGGGGAGGAGGGGGAGAGTCACCTCTGAAAACTCATCACGATCTTGCCCCTAAACTTTCCCCCCACACAAGCCTCCGATGGTCAACGTGACATTCGGCATCATTGTAAACTGCACCTCGGTCCAGAACAACATGGGGCACATGTCGACCACCTTGGCCGGGGCACTAGCTTGCTGGGATTTGCTTTGCAACCGCAAACCTGTCTGGGCACCTCTGTGGCCTATCAGTGAGCCAGTGATGGGCCCACGACCCTTCAGAGGAAAGACCTGGCACTCAGACACAGGAGAGATGCTTTGAGGTCAGGTCTGCAGGATGCACCAAAAACTCTGGAGGTGGGCGAAAATAACCCCACCAATTTCACATTTAATTCAGTCCTCCCCACGGCCCCAGGTGGGGGCTACCATCATTCCCATTTGCATGTGAGAAAAGACTCAGAGAGATGACAGTCCCTTGCCAAAAGTCACAGAGGTTGGCAGAGGCCAAGATTGAACCAGGTCCGTGCTTTCTGCCCCTCTGCCTGGCACACAACCTGCTTCCAGAGGGAAGCTCCCTTACCTGTCTGCCGTCATCGTTGGTACAGATCAGCCCGGTGAATTACCTGCATACAGTAGAGGAGACAGACACACCCCAATACCAAATCAGGGGCAGGCCCTGGGCTGAGGTGCGGAGACGAAAAGAATGCGGCCCCTGACCTGGAGGGTTATGATCTAATGGCAGAACTACAAAGCAGCCTGTCTCTATTGCTCAGATGAGATAAACGAGGCCCAGGAGGGGAGTGACCTACCCAAGCCTATGACGTCATTTAGGGGTAAGAACAGAATGAGGTCCAGATCTGTCCACTGTTCCTTAAAAAGAAAAAAATAAACCAGTGGTCAATATACATGTATGTTGCTCACCCTCTCAGGTAACCAAGAAAATGCCAACAAACCAAGGAGATGCCACTTCACACTCACTACACTGACACAATTTTAAAGTCTGATGGAACCAAGTGTTGGTGAGGATGTGGCACAGCGGATGCTCCACGCACTGCCATCACACAGCACAAGCCCTCCATGTGGCCCTTGGGTGGGTGGACTCGGTGGCAGGGCCGCCTCCTGGCCGTGCACCTGTGCGGTCACCTGGGCCCACACCTGGCTTAATGCTCTGCCCTCATGAAGTTCCAAATAATTTATCTAGGGGCCCAAGTTTTGATTTGCATAGGATCCTGCAAATTCTGTAGCCAGGCCTGCCCAGTGGTTTTGGTTTCACTCCTTGGCACAGGCCCCAGGGTGAGCAATGCCTGTGGGTACCAGGAGCCCATCAAGAATGTTCATAGCAGTTGTTTCTGCAAAAAGCCAGATACCCACATGGCATGGATGAATCTGAGAAACCGAATGCTGAATGATGAAAACATGAAGAAGAATCCATACAGCAAAGTCCCATTTTCATAAAAAGACAAGCAAAACAAAATAGTGGTGTCTAGAGAAATACACCAGTGTGGTGAATCTATGAAGAAATCGTCCATAAAGGAGATGCGGACTGGTGGGGGGCTCCCAAAGGCGCATGCAGACAGCCCTGATGACACTGGCAAGACTCTGTTTTGAGGCCGGTTGGTGGGTCTGTAGTTCTTACACTTTAGATCTGATGTGCGGCATCGATTCTCAGTGGGTTTATGTCAAATATTTTGTATTACAAAATGAAAGAACCTGCCCAGGCCTGCTGCCCTGTCAGGGGTCAGGCACGGGGAGATGATGGCATGTGGCAGCCTGTGTTTGTCACCCTGACTGAGGCCTGAGGCTGAGGAGAGGCTGCCCTCAAAGGGGGACGTTCCCTGGCTAGGACCCAGCCTCCTGGATGCCAGCAGCAGCTCCTGAGAACCAGCTTCGTGAAGCGGGGCCTCAGTTCGGGGAGCACACGATGATGCAGATGTTAAATGTACCAAATCACATTTCTGTTTCCGCCAGTGAAATATGTACATGTGGTTCTGCCTCTAAAATCTACAGCTCTTACATTTGACCTGTTTCACCTTTAGCACCTTTGTATTTGGTCTTTCTGGGCAAAAAGGAGGCTTTCCAGAGGTTTTATTCTTTAAGCTGCATTCTAAACACCTTATTTTGTTTCACATCCAAAATCAAATCGTTTTTCCTCTTCTCTATTTCCCAAGTTTTGTCATGTTGTCATATTTACTTTTATAATTTAAAGACAGGAGGGGGAGAAAATGGGAGAGGAAAGTGGTCTCCCTTGCAACAGCGATGGCTGGTGGAGACCACGGTCTGAGGGCCCCCGCGGCCCCGTGGCGCGTCTGGAGCCGGCACCTGCCTGGGCCCCTCTGCCTGGGTAAAAGCCATCCCCAGGGCTGCTGAGGAGGCCGCGCCCACTCCTTGGCCCTGGTGTCCAGGTGCTGGGGACTCCGCCCGAGTCCACAGAAGCAAACCCAAAGAGGTGTGGTCTGTGCATCAGCTTAGCTGAGGCCCTGTCCTTGACCTTCAGAACCTCTCTCTGCCCCAGACCAGCCTGATGAGGGTGGGAGGGTCATGCAGGACCAGAAGGGGGCAGCTAGGAGTCCCAGGACCCTCTGTGGGGAACTCTGGGGGCAGGATAGTCATTGGCCCTCCCAGGCTGAAGCCCCCACGTGGTGAGTGTGAGACCCAGTCCCCACCACCCTGCTCCCATCCCGCCCCCAGGCAGCTCCTGTGCCCTCGGACACCCATGTCAGACTCGGCCTCTGGGTGCAGGTTTGCCCCCCTGCTGGCAGACAGCCTGACTCACGTCCCCAGCCCCCACCCCCACCTTGGCCTGGTCTAGCAGGTGAATGACTCTCAGCTACCCGAGGCCGCGCAGGCCACCCCCTCCCCCAGCTGCCCCAGAGAGGGAGTTCTCCGTGACAGAGGGGGGTGGAGGACGTGTGTGGAGTCGCCATCTGGCTGCAGAGAGATCCAGACACAGAGGCAATTCATTAGTGAACAATCAACAGCATATACTTAAGTCGAGGTTCTGCTAGGCAGATTCTGTGGGAGCTTCAGAGGCGGCCAGGGGATGGGGAAGGGGGAAGACAGATGGGTGAGTGGGTGGGGCTGAGGGTGCCCACGGCCTGGTTGGGAGCCCAAGCCCCCCTTGCCGGTACAACGAAGTAGATAAAGCTGCTTCCCATGCAGTGTGGCAGAGGGGGCACTGAACGCTCACATGGGTGATTTGGGAAAGATGGGCAATTGGGACAGTAAAGCACCAATGTGGGCAAAGGGTGCCCCCAGGCGAAGACAGCAGGCAACGTCTCAGCGTCCAGGGTGGGATGGGACGGGGAGGGATGCAGGGCCCCAGCCAGCCTGAAAGCCCAAGCCCCGTCCCCTGTTCTGGGGAGTTCGGGCAGCGTTTGTGGCTGTGGCTCAGCTGTCTGCAAGGAGGCATCTGTGACGTTTTCCATTTTCCCTTGAAGTCTGATTGTGCCAGGAGCGCCAGACCTCCCTCTCCCGTCTGAGTGCTGTGCTGGGGCACTTCAGGCCCCTGTGAGCTTCCTAGTGTCAGGGGGCCCACCAGCCCCTGCACAGCTCACAGGGAGCACCCCTCCTGCTGCTGTTGTGGGCGGGCCCGCCCCCAGGGGCGAGAACCAGGCAGGGCTGGCTGGCCACGAGGGGCCAGGGGCGGGCAGGGCTCCGTCCAGAATTCTTCTCCTTGCTTTGTAGATCGGTAGATGGTCCCCCAGCACCACAGCAGCTCCCAGACATACCCTGGACACCCAGTGGGATGGGGCTCAGAAGTGAGAGAGGCAGGACTCAGGGACAAGGTTTCAGGACTCGAGGTTTATTGACACTTGAGCACAGCAGCCCCTGGGAGACCGCCTTTCTGGCCCCCTCACCCTGGGACTGGCCCTCTGGACAGGGGCAACAGCCATCCAGTCTTGGATCGAGGCCTCCCCCCGAATAGAACAGCACTCCCAGGAGCCCCACTGAGGTGTGTACAGATAAACCCTTGGCAAGGCTGGCATGGCACGGGAATGGCAAAGCTTGGCAGATCTGGCAAAGCTGTGAAGCTTCAGTGACAAGCACAGCCTCCCGGGGCTGCTTATTTTGGGCGGTGGGCAGAATCAAACCAAAAACAGCTTTTTTGCATGGGCCTGCCTGGTTTCTACTTCGCCTGTGTGGGGCCAGGCCTGGGAATACTGCTGAGCAGTGAGAGGCCCACTCAGAACTCGCACTGCAGGGAAGGGGCCGGGCCTCCACCGTGAGCTGGCCAGGATGGCAGGGGAGGACGGGCTGTGGCCAAAGGCAGGGTTCGCCCAAGCTGACCCAGGACACCAAGAGTGCCGTGCTTCTCCCGTGGGAAGCTGCACCCTACTGCTCTCCCCTCTAAAACAATTTCCTGGTCCTGCTGAGGAAGGGCTGGGTCAGGGAGGCAAGTGCCCCTGGACTTCAGCAGGGTGGGCGCTTGACTAGGATGCCCTGGAGAGCCAGCTGAGCCCTGCCCCTCCCGGGTCTCCCACCTGCCACCTGCAGAGGGAGCCCGGATGTGCCCGTTCCCACCCCTGCTGGCTCAGGATCAGCCCTACCTGTACAAGCAGAGCTTGACTGCACCGGATTTTGTATTCCATATAAGGAGCTGGCATCTGTAGCATGATTCTTTTCCAACCCACTTAATTTTAAGAATAGACATTAATAATACTTAATCACCCCTTCCCGCTAGCAGAGGGGGAGGGTTCCCTCAGAGCTGGAAGCATCTCACCAGGGTGCACCAGCTCGCCTTGTGCGGCTGCTGCACAGACTCAGCAGTAACCCTGTGTCCTATGAAGGGGAGACTGAGGCCCACGGAAGCACCATGACTTGCTCAGCTCACACAGCGAGACTCGGGACTGTGGCCCGACAGGGAAATGGGCCTGGACTCACAGAAGCTGAAGATGCCCAGTGGCATCTGAGCAGCTGGGTTCTTGGAGGCAGAGGCGTTGGGCCAAGCCCAGAGAGCTCTCCTGGTAGAGCCCCAGGCCGGAGCTCGAATCAGACCACCAAGGGGAGTGACCCAGCACTCCCCAGGGTGAAGCTCCATGCTCAGCAGCAACCATGGAATAAGATTAGCAAAGAAAAGCAAAGCAGACGCCTATACATCTCCACCTCCCTCCCCCACTAAGGCCATGCCAGCGGCAGCAGGGCTAGTGGTGAAGGGTGGGGCCGCACGCGCCTCTTGCCCAGCCCGGTGCTGAGAGGGGCTGAAGAGGGGGCTTCTGGTTAGGCCGGGTAATACAAGGTCATTCTTGGCTTCCACCAATGTTCTCTGAATTGCTGTGACCATGCTTAAAATGCTTTTTATCCTGAGCCTTTGAGCAAGGCATAGATTGCATCATCTTGGCTTCTTCATCTCAGTCGTGGGAGGGGGGTAACGCTGAGTGTGCAGGTGGTGTCCCCCCTCCCTGCTGGACAGCCCACACTCACTTCAGGGGGGCCAGCTCGCTCTCACCATCTGCCCTTCCCTGGGCTGAGGACAGAGGTGCCCACTGCCCGCCTCCTCTCCAGCAGGGCTGCCCTTAGTACAGCTGGGATCAGGGGGCTCCATGCTGCGGGTGGCCTCTGAACCCCTCCACAGGCCCTCCTGGTCTTGGGGACCTGGTGCTAGGCTTCCTCCCACGGTCCAACACCTGGCGACATTGTCCCTAAGCTCCAGCTAAACAAGCCATTGCCCTTCTCAGTGCTGCCCACCACTGCGGGCCTGGGTCCTCCCACCTGACCCCTGACCTCCAGACCCTTCACCCAGCCTTGCCACTTTCAACTCTGCACACATGTCCCATCTGTCCCACTAATGTGAGCAACTGAGTCCCTGAAGTCTCCTGACTTTTGAGCTTTGCCTCCCAGGTGTGCTAGAGAAAGTGGAGCTCTCAGAGGGGGCTGGGCTGTGGGCACAGCATGGCAGCAGAGGTCACCAGCCATGGTAGGAGAAACGAGGGACTTCAGGGGCTGCTGGGCAGACTCCCCAAGGCATCTCCACTGCCTCCAGTAGAGCCAGAGACCCACAGGCTGCCTCCAGACCTTCCAGAGCCTCTTAAGCAAGCTGCCCAATGAAACTGATTCGACGACCAACACACGAGACACCTGGAACATTCTAGTCAAACAGCAAGGGCCTGCTTGGTCCCTCAGCCTGCAGTCCAGCCGGAGATGCGGGTGGCAGGGCCAAGGTGTGCAGGGAGGCGAGCGGGGCCACAGCCGCCCCGCACACCCAGGTCACGCTGTTAAGGGGCTGCTCTGCTGTCAGCGGCGCATCACAAAAGGCAGAAGGGGCTCCCCCAGGAAGAATCTGAGCCGAAATCATGTCGCCGTAACAAAATCAACCCTCCTTCTATAAAAGCTTCTACATACCTACGAGACCCCCTTGCAGGCCTGCCGGCGCGGGCCTTCCCTAGAGCTGTTTAAGGCACTTGAATGGTTTGTCAACACCACCTGGAAAAGTTTTTTCTTTCCATCCTAATTTAGGAAAAAAATTCAGTAATACTGCAAAAGAAGTTTCCCCTAAAAAAAAAAATCAATACTTAAGTTTTCTAAGGAATAAAATAAATGCTAAGCTCTGCTTAAGTTATATGACACAACATGTCACCTTGGCACTGACAAAACAAAGACAAAACCTGAAATACTGCTTCGGAGTTAGACTTTTCCCTGGAAAAAAATAGACCAAAAAGAGGACACATGCGCCATCTGAGCTTTCTCTCCCCTGGATGGTCAAGGGGCGAGAAGGGGCCGGGAGGCTGGGGGCCGCGTGTCGCCCGCAGGCAGGTGACCCCTGCAGACCTTCCCTGGCACGCCCTCTCCTGCCAGTGAGACCACTCTCCCGACTTTAGGCAGTAGGCTTGGCCAGCCAGGACCACCAGGCCCATGTGCAGGCCTGAAGCCTCCCAGCTGCGGCAGCCAGAGGGCGGGTGAGAAACTAGTCTTGGACGCCCGGACATCCCTGAAAATGTCCGTGGCTCCTGGGTCTGCCAAGGGTCCCACATGCAGTGTCCTGCTGCCCCGCATGTGCACCTGGTGTCTGGTCCGGCTGCAGCCAGTACCCGTGGCCTCCAGTCCCACCTCTGCCCATGGGACTGGGAGCAAGAGCCAGTCCACTTCCCAGTTGTCTTCTCTTTGGTGAGGTCTCTTCCCTAGGTTTCTTTCGGAGCCCGGCTGCCCGCCGGCCTGCCACAAGCAGGGCAGGACGCCTACTGCCCAGTGCAGGTCCATGACTACCAGCATGGGCCAATGCAAGCCACAAGAGGGACTCGGGGACCTGGGAAAGCACTGTGTGGGTCACCCCCACCTGCCCGCTGCCACCTGTCAGGTCCTAAGGCATCTGGAGGGCGTCACAGGGTGGGGGCAGGGGGCCTAGGCCTCTTAGCTTCTCTCTGGCGTGTTGGTCTCCAGCTCTGAGAGGCCAGAGGGCAGGTCCCCTGCCCCCTGGGCCCCGCCCTCCAGCAGGTCTCGGGGGTCCCTGAGGAAGACCACCACGACTGTGATATTGTCGCGGGAGCCCCGCTCCCGGGCTGCAGCCACCAGCTCCTCAGCAACATGGAGCCCACTGCCCTGCCTGACCAGACAGCTCCAGACAAGGCCGGCCACTTCCTGGTGGGGGACAACATCGAAGAAGCCATCACAAGCGAGCAGCAGGTAATCCTCGGAGCCCGTCAGCTCCCGGGAGGCCGAGTCCGCCTCCCCAGACACATAGGGCTTCTGGAAGACGTCCCCTGGGCACAAAAGAGAAGTGCCTCCGGTCAGCAGGCTGCCCGGCCCACTGCTCCGCCCTTCCTGCCAGGCCTGGGCCTCCCTGCAGCCTCCCCTCCCCTGATGCCCACGCTCACAGGGAAGGGCACATGGTGGGTAGACTGCTTCACGGATGCCAGGTGCTGTGAAGACAGCAAGAGAGGGCGGAGGGACAGGTTTATTTTGGCGTCCCTGGCGGCAGGACTGGAACCCACGGGCCAGGCTGCAGTTCCGCACGCGGCTTCCTCCCTTCTGTGCGGCCGGGGTGGGGGTGACTGAGGTTCGGGGAATCAGACATGGGCCGGGCTTGCTCCTCCTCCTCACACCTGCTCCTCTAATCTCCCTGCTGGGGAGAATGGCGCCAGGCCCCTCGCTCCTTTTGCCCAAATCTGTGGGTTCCCTTCGATCCCCAGATCCAGGCTATTTAGCAAGTCCTGTCGGCTTTACCTTTGAAGGGCACCCCAGCCCCACTTCCCTCTCCTCGCCTTACCCAGATCCCAGGGGCCTCCGCGGGCCCCTCCCTCTGATCTTGCGCTGGCCTTGGGCAGACACATCGCCCCCTTACAGGGAATCACCTGGCATGTCCCCCCCACCCCCGGAACTGAGCCGGCCCTCAGTCTCCACTCGGAGGCCCACCCGAGGCCTCCCCATCCCGGTGTGTCCAGAGACACAGCGGCAGAAGCAGCTAGGAGGGGGGCTGTAGAGAAGGTGCCACATTTGGCAAGAAGGACAGAATGTTTCAGGAGGCCGGAGGGACAGATGTCCCATGGTCAGCAGGAAGGGACTGATATGAGTACTTGGACAGGATGCCAAGGAGACGGGATGGGGGTGGGGTGCTGTTTTTCTTATATTTAGAAGAGAAAATAACCATCAGCATGAGCTGGGGGGATGAGTCTCAGCAACAGAACATTTAAAATGTATCTCAGCACGTGCAGTAGCAGCCAAGGGTTTCCTAGTAGATTTTTCCAAGGGACTGTTTTAACTAAGAGATAATGACATGTAACTTACAGAGCAGTTAATTGTGCAAGATGGAAATTTCCAAGGCGTCTGCACCTGCACTCCCCGCACTCCCCGGAGCCCCTTTTCACGATCTGATTACACAACCCCACAGACCAGGCACTTTGTCAGTGCGTAGCACCACCATCTTGCACAGCGGAGTGAGCCCGTGGACCTGTCAGGAGGACTGGGACCTGGGCACCTTCCCCCACCACACCTCACCTCCTTACCAATGGCTCTGGAGACGGCCAGGGTCCCATTGACCCTCCAGCAGTCCATGTGGGACACGAAGCCACCCAGCGCCTCGATGCGCTCTTTCTCGTCCTGTGGGAGACACAGAGCGGGGCCTGGGTGAAGCCAACAGGTGGGTGCCCAGCAAGGCTGACACACATCACGCCGCCCAAATGAAGTACTAGTAAGACAGTGAGAAATATGAGCAATCTACACATTCTGCAGCTGCAGGAATGGCTAAATAGGTCATGGTGCAAACCGAAGGGCCACTGTGGCCACTGACCCACAGCCGCACCCCTCAGCTGCCTCACCTGTCACAGGGGTTACAGTCCCTTCCCTTAAAGCTGCTGGGACAAGGCCAAGCGTGTGTTAGGTGTGGACGCTCGGTAGGGCTGAATCAGGCCTTGGACGAGCCCCGTGTCCTGGTCCCGATCCTCTCACCCCCACCCGGGGGGCTGTCCAGCTTCCCAAAGGAGCCCCAGGCCTCAGAGGACAGGGCAGAGGCCCACACCAGCCACGAGTCCTTAAAACCAGTTTGGTCCAGTAATTCTCCCAAAGGAGAGGTTCCTAGATGTGACCCAGCTGCCTGAGGGCAGCAACAATGTGTCCGTGGATGGAGTGAACCCCACGTGTCCCAGGGGGAGCACACCCTCGCGCCATGGAGAAGGGGGCCAACTCTCCCTAGTTACCCTATTTATCCTGTCAGGCCCATAGGACTAGCGGGGAGCCAGGTTTAAGCCTCCTGACCCCACAGGACACACGCATGGTTCTGTCCTTCCTCGCAGCCCCTCTTGACCCCTGGGCACCAGGGCTTGGCCCCTGCTTTGGGGGGGTCTCCCCACTGGCCACTTCCTCATGGCCTCGCTCCTCTGTGCACTGCCAGGCCAGCTTCTCCAGGCTGGGCTGGCACCGAGGTCAGCACCGCGCCCAGGACAGCTCCCTTTCTGCCTTCCCCGCCAGGCTGCACCCCCCAACTTCTGATGGGCCTTGCTCCGTCTCCTGTCACAGCCTCCCTTCCCTGCATGCCCTTGGCTCTGTGAGCACGTAGCCCCCAGGGCTGTGTCCCCAGCCCTGCCCATCTTCAGAGGGCACCTACCAGCCCTGCGGACCCTGCTCTCATGGGGAACACCCCACTTCGCCCTCCCCCACCCCGGTAACCTGGCTAGTGGCATCGCCTTCCTCTTGGATGCCCATGGCCCTCTTGCATCCCCAAAGCCTGGACTCTTCCTTTTCTGTCCTTGATGCTGTAGGCGGGGCATCCCTACAGCAGGCCTGGTGACTGCAGTGGCCTCTTTAGTGACCCAGCCCTCAGCCTTCTCTCTGGTCTGATCATTCCCCAAGCTTCCAGTGACTCTTACAAAGTTCCCCAGCAGGTGTCCCTTTCCCAGTGGCTGGTCCTGGCTCAATGTGCCCTTTCCTCCCAGACTGCACCTCGGCCCGCTGGGGTCACACCTGCCTTTGGGATTCCACTGAGCCCCTCAGATTCAGCTCCCTCCTTAGCACATCCTGGCACCTTGCCCACGTCCTGCAGCTCTCACCTGCCAGCAGCCCAAGAGAAGCTGCCAGGCTCACTACCATAGCAAAGCATCCCATGTGGAGTAGGTGCCAACTGTTTGTTGGCTTGAATCCAGCAGCACAAGTGACACGGGGTCCCCACGTGTTTCCTGGAGCCGGTACTGGCAGCTGCCAGACCCCCACTGCCCTCACCAATTATAACCAGCGTCCTGCTCTCATGACCAATGTGGTGATGCCTGTTTTTGTGGGGAACCTTTGACCCAGTCTTTGATCACTTATGTGTGTGGGTAACAGGCTGAGGTCAGGTTCACAGGGCTCCTCCAGCTGGAAGCGGCTGGCAAGGGTTGGGGGGAGCTGGGATGTGGTCTCTGAAGCCATGTGGGGTACAGATAAACAACTGATGAGAAAACAGACACTCTGGCATGCTTCTCCGTGCAGCAGTCTCCCACACCCATGTGCACCAGGCCATGAAATCCTTACCTCCTGGGAACCCCGCTTCACAGACATGGACCCCAGGCTTGGAAGTAGTAGAGCCAGGACTGAGTATGGCTGGCTGGCTGTGCCCCCTGCCACGGTGTCATGCTGCGGGGCTCAGGCAGGGTTTGGAAAGCGCTGCCTGGGAAAGGGCCCTGCTGGGCTTCATAGGAGCACTAAACACTGAGCCTGTGTGCAGGTGGGCAGAAGCAGGCCTGGCACCCCAAGCAGAGGTTTGCATCTAGTCTCAACTGGGGCTGCACTTCACCTGACTGCACGTCTGGGGGACAAGGACCCACCAGGGAGCAGGCACCAAGTGTCCCCGTACCACGGTGGCAGTGGAGTGACAGAGGGTGCCTGCCATTTCCTGGCTGTGTGTGCTGGGCAAGTTCCCTAACCTCTCTGAGCCTCAGTTCTCCCATCTATACTATGGAGAGAGCAGATGTAGGAGATTAGCACAGTCTGGAAGCTGCAGAGAGCCCTGAGACTGCTGTCATTTCCGGCTGGTGTACTGACCATGGCCTGATACTCCCTGCAGTACTTTGCTAGTCCAGGAGTCACAAGAGAAAAGAAAGCTCCTTTCAGTTACATACACACTAACCAGGGATAAGACAAAAGCCAAAAAACAAAGACAAAGGGGGGTCGCTATTTGCAAATTGCTGTGCAGACAAGGAGCTGACCTCCCTCATGTATAAAAGATGTTGGCAAATCAGTAAGAAATCCAGAAACAGCTTAGGAGAAAAATGGGCCAAGAACAGGAATGGCGCGTTCTCAGGAAAGGTACCGCCAGTGATCCGCAGCGTTTGTGATGATAGTCCTCTGTGAGACACACTGAGCCGCTGCCTCCTTGCCCCACAGGCTGGCATTCGCGGTTTGGTGGACCGTGGGGAAGGGCCCCTGCGGATGCGCAGCCTGAGCACAGCCTGGCCCTGCCTGACGGGGCAGTTCGGCCAGTCCGCCAAGACGGTGACCTTGCATTGCCCAGCAGCTATCCTGCCCCAGCCATCGGCTCCAGAGGTACACTTAACCCTAAACAATTCAGTGCTGACAAAGGTACTTATCCCCGTGTGGATATGAGTACCGGAAGACCGGAAAATCCTCATGTCCATTGACAAGAGATCAGGAACCACAGAAATGCATGCAGCCCTATGCTGGGGAAGGTCTTTATGCGCTGACGTGGACTGCCCATGAGGCAGGGCAGGCCAAGTATTGGGCATTCCCTGGTGTGCAAACTCGCTGGACCCCCAGGAGACAGACAGACCGGATGCTTTTGTGAACTGTAGTCCAGGTAGGAGTGTCAAACTCGTGTCCAGGCGAGGCTCCCTAGGCTCAGACAGGGGGGTGATCTCAAGGTCCCAGCACAGTCTCTACCCAATGAAGCCCCAAGCCAGGATCCTTCCCACCCCAGCTCAGCGTCACCTCCTCCCTGAAGCCCTCCTCCTCCACAGCCCAGGTAGCTGGCCGCACCTTGCCTTGCTGCACTTGACTGAGCTCACCCTGAGGCTCTGGGCTCTGTGTGGCTGCCACAGGAAGGGCTCACTTGGGCTCTTGGCTGCTTAGTGGGCCCCTGGTCACTCGAGTCAGGAGGGGAGCCTTTCCGCTGGAGGAGCGTTAAGAGTTTCTGGGAAGACAACCCGGGGCCCCTTTCACTTCCTCACCCACTTGCCAACTGCTTCCCTGCGTGGACCAGCATGAGGGGGGCTAGGGTGCCCCAGGCACGGGCAGACGGAGCCCCTTACCTGTCGCTCGGGTTTGTGCGGCTCCATCAGCTTCACCACCTGTCCCTGCTGCACCAGGATGACCTGGGAGTCCCCGAGCCAGGCAACGTGCAGGGTCTGTCCTGTGATGAGCGCACAGACACCCGTAGTGCCACTCTGCAGCCGCTGCAGGGAGAGAGGCCCGTGAGGGTGAGGGAGGGCTAGGCGCCCACACGTCAGGAACACACCTGGGCAGCCGGAAGACTCTAGCAATGGTGCTCGGCCAGATACGAGGCCTGGACAGCTGAAGTGTGCCAGGGCACCACGAGGCTTCAAGGAGCACACTGCCTGAGAGGAGGGCGTCTCCTGTGTGCCCCCGATTACAGCCCTCAATCATCTGGACTATCAAGAAGCAGGCGAGCAGCTGTGGGGGGCAGGTAGGCAGGTGGGAGGGCCAACAAAGGACAGGAAGGAACTTCTGGGGGTGATGAATATGTTTTGTGGTAGTGGCCACACAGGTGTGGACCAATGTCCAAACTTATCAACCTGTACACTTTAAATACGTGCCACTTATTATGTGTCATCTATAGTTCAATAGAGCTATTTTAGAATAAAGATGAACTGTATTAAGCACCTGCTTCAGAGAATCCTCCTGTGCGCTGAGAAGCAGCCTGGAGCTTTGGGCCTTCCTCACCTCCTAGGGGTGACTGGCCAGGAGGCCGGGGTGTGTGGCTCCATCTCCCAGTTTCAGATGCTGTATAGTTTGTCGTTAAGATGCTAAGTCCAACTCTGCTGATTTCCACTGAGGTCTGTGCTCAGAGTGTCTGATGACAGACACTCCCTCCCAGATCTTATGAGCCGAGTCAACCAGGGCAGGCCTTTTAAGCTCCCTAGGCCACAGTTTCCCAATGTCTAAAGTGGCCACAATCTTAGTAGCAACCCCACAAGGCAGCTGGGAGGACCTGCTGCAGGTCTGCAGGTGAGCTCCCGGTGGGGTAAGTTCACAGAGGAGGTGCTGGATACCCTTTTTCTTCTTCCCTATGCGGCAAGACCCCCAAGGAAAGAACATCCCCAGCGGATGCCGGCAGCCTGCCGAGACCCTGTCCGGGGAGCAAGGGGAGATGGGGCTGTGTACACACTGTGTGTTGTGCTTTCTGTGTTTATTATCTTTGATAAACTGGAGATATGGGCCTCATGGAGAGAACGCCACGCCCAGGGCTGGCTGATTCCCACAGGCAGCAGACGTGCCCCTGGGAGCGCACCTTCCGTGCACTGGCTCGTGTGCAGCCTGTGTCCTTGACCACCTCCTTCATCTCTCTCGCCAGGCTGTTTCCCCTGGCCTGGACGCCTGGCGCCCACCTCGAGCCCAGAGCCGGCTGAGGGTCTTCAGACCGTCCAGCCTACACTTGCTGTGGCTCCGCAGTGCTGCCTCGCCTGTTCTTCCTGAGGAGGCCATGGCAAAGGCGCAGGACTGTGCTGCCCTTCCTCCCCCTGCCTCCCGACGGACCTGGTGCTTCCCCGTGTGAGCTGCGCAGCGTGACATCTCCTCTTGGGAATTTTATGTGATAAACTCCTCTCTCAAGGCAGATGTCCCTGTGTTGGTCCCCCTACCATATCTCATCAAAATGAAATCCTGGGCACATCATAAAGTGGCTGCCCTTCCTGGTGAGGCTCGTCCACCCTCTGCGGTGGGGCAGGGCCAGGCATTCAGGAGCAGGGGCAAGCTCTTGGATGCTTCTGCTCAAATGAACCACAAGCCCCCCTTTCCTGCAAGCAGAAGACGCATGGCTGCCAGCAGAGTTTCGTGAGGACTTTGTAACTCCACTGACCACTTTTATTTCCTTCCCTCTGCAGGGCATGGGCCTCTCTGAGGGTAATGGCTACCGGCTGCATGAGGCCCATCTGCCGGTTCTCACCTCTCGCTTGGCTTTCCAGAGGAACATCTCGTCGGCACGCCGGAAGGCTTCTCTGAGGGCTCTGGCGGGGTCTGTGAGCAGCTCTGGCTGGCGGGCGGCATTGACGTGCACATGCACAGCAGCATACCTGGCGGCATCTACCCCTCCGTGACCGTCAAAAACAGCAAAGTAGGCGCGGTCCACGGGGTCCTTGGGGGGTGCAGTGGGAATCACAGCCCTGCTGGCCTTGCGCCCGACCGGGGCTGTGGCCTGGCCAGAGGCTCTTGCCTCAGGGTTGCCCTGGTGCTGACTAGGACAGGGTCTGGAAGAATCAGCATGGCCAACACCGTCAGGCAGGTCACCCTGGCCTAAGCACTTATGAGCTAGGAGATCCTCCTAGGCTGTCCTGACTGGGGACACCGGCTTCACAAGCTACCCCGGGGCGGGGAGGTGGAGCACTGGGAGGGGAGCACTCACAGACAGGCCGAAGAGCTGATTGAAGGTGGGAAGGCACACGTGCCGATCCTCCATCTTGCGGCGCATGTTCCGGATGGCGTGGATGGAGACCAGCCATTGCCGCTGCAGAACCTGGGCGGCTGAGGGCACGTGCTCCCGCCACTGGCTGCACACTTCCCAGAGCTGGTGGAAGAAGCTGCAGGCCAGGCTGCTGGCATCCAGCACTGATGGGCACAACAAGGATTGTTAAGGACACACCAACACAGGCCAGCTGTGGTTCCGCTCACTCTCCCTGCCCCACTTCCTGTGGCCCCTGCTGCTCTCCAGACACCCCACACCACAGGCCTGCACAGACCCCACAGCCTGTCACCCGGGGCATTCCGAGCACAGCAGCCTCACAAATCCCCTGTGACAGCCTGTGTCATCACCACTGAGAAACATCCGCTGTGGCCATACGCACCGGAAGCCTGTCCAATGGTAGAGCGAGTCTGCTCAAATGGCCAGAAATGCAAAGATAATTTCAGGACAAAGCAGAGTTATGTATAATCGTGCATTCATTAGAAACAATCTAGATCCAATGACACAGTAAATTCTGGTCTGTTCTCTTAATGAATTAAGCAGCTATTAAAAATGATTTTTGCAACTAACCTGCAACTGCCGAGGGCCTAGGCAGTTGCAAGCCTGGGCACCTATCCCAGAGAAGTTGAGACCATGTTCACATATAAACCTATGCCCAAATGTTCACAGCAGATTTATCTGTAATAGCTGAAAACTAGAATCAACTCAGATGCCCCTCAACACACAAATTAAACAAACTTTGGTACATCATGCCAAGCAGTACTAGTCAGCAGAAGGAAGGTGCTACTGATATACAAAGAAACTGGCTGAATTCTCTAGAGAGAGAACTACACTTGAGTGAAAAAGCCATTCCCCCAAATCAGAGACTATGATTCCATTTATATGCACTTAAAAAAAAAGCTGAAATACAGTTGTGTTTCAACATGTAACTTCCAGGTGTACAGCACAGTGACTTGATGACATCACTACATGGCCGCCATGGTCAGGGCAGCTGCCCTCCATCAACATACAAAGACGTTACAGTAATACTGACTCTATTCCCTGTGTCTGCTTTCATCCCTGTGACCAATTTATTTTCTGATTGGGTGTCTGTACCTCTTTATCTCTGTCACTTATTTCACCCACCCCTCCTCCCCCATGTGTATGCATTCTTGAAGTAACAAAATTGTAGGAACAGAGATTAGCGGTTGCCAGGGATTAGGGATGTGTTACAGTGGCCACAGAGGTTAACAGGAGGGACCCTCGCAGATGAAACTGTTCTGTGTCTTGACTATGTCAACATCCCAGTTGTACTAATTTATTATAGGTTTGCAAGATGTCAGCATTGGGGGAAACTGGGCAAAGGATGCATGGGTCCCTCTGTTAGTTTTTACAACTGCATGTGAGGTTATGGTTATCTGAAAACAACGTTTAGTTAAAAAACTAAAGGGTAGACCTGAAACGAATATAATATTGTCTATCAACTATATGTCACTAAAAAAATAAATAAAAGTAAAGTGCAATTAAGAAGCAGAGCAACAGGGTCCAATGGAAGTGGACGGCACATGGAAGAGAGGAGTGGGTAGTGGGGAAAAGGGCTATTATATTGTAGCTAAATGTTAGTCAAGGAAGACAGAGAGGCTTAGAAGGAGCTACCAGCAGCCCTGGGCTTCTGGGATGGGCCGTCCAGGCCTGTGTCTAGCCAATCGTCCTGAGCAGTGGAGCACAGTGCTTCTAAATGTCCCTCCATCTTCCCCAACACAGTAACCTGAAATCCCCCACACGAATACTTTCTAGAAGGGAAAAGTATCTTCCATAGAGAAATAATTGCTATGGAAAAGGATTCCTTTTAAGACTATTTGGGATTTTTGAAGGCAACTTTGCTTTATATCAAATGAAGAGAATATGAAAAAAATTAAAAGAGTAAAGCAAAAATGGACTTTTATGAAGTTTGCAAGCATGTACAATGTTTCTGTCATGATATTAAGGAAAAACATGGCTTCCACCTTGAATGCTCTCTCCCCCTCTCTCCCTGTCTGTCTCCCTGAGGGAAGCCAGCTGTCATGACGAGAAGACAGCCGGTGCAGAGTCCCTGTGGTGAGGAACTGAGGCCTCCTGCCAGCAGCAGTGAGCACCCTCGCAGTGGAACCTCCACCCACTGGCCTCTGTCTGAACACAATCTCAGGACGGACAGACGGACACTGTGGGAGAAGCACCTGCTCAGCTGCTCCCAAGTCCCAGACCCACGGAAGTTCTGAGATCATGAGGATGTATTGTTTTTAAGCCGTTTAATCTGGTGGCAACTTGTTATATACAGCAACAGGTGATAACCCCCACAACATGAATTTTAAAAGAAAAACCCAAATCCTGCTCAAACTTGGCTTCTAAAGGGAAGATTAGCAAGTAACAGGTCCAAAGGAAACCTCAGGTGCCTGCCTCACAGACTCACGTCTGTTTAGATGCACAGACCCCTCCTGGGACCCCTGCTGGCCCAGGTGCAAGTGGCAGATACAGATGAATCAGGGCCAGGCATGTGGGAGGGACTCAAGGGAAGGCGGCTGAAAACGGGACAGACTCCAGGCATGTTGCCTGCTACACACAGTCGTGGGTCGGTGAAGAGCTCCTGCTCGGGCTGCAGAAGGGCTGAGGCCAGGGAAGGCTTGGAGGTCTGTGAGCGCAGGAGGCCAGAGAAGGCATGTGGAGGACCCCACACATGAAGTTGGGGCGTCTTAAATTGGCCGCGCTACCATACCAAGGACGTGGGGACTATTCGCATCTGGCAAGGGGCGCGGGGTCGGCCTGAGTGGCTGCGGGTGAGGAAGGGCTCACTTTAGGGAAGGCAGGTCCCCCCTGTGCCTGACCCTGTGGATCTCCTGCCAGCAGGAAGCGCCACCCCCCCACCCCCCGCCAGCCAGTCCACATGGCCCTGCCTCGCCCACCCTCCTCCAACGCTCCGCAGACGCTGTGCGCAGGTGACCGCCCTGCTGCTCGGCCCTTCCCTCCCTCTGGAAACCCCGGGCTGTGTTTTCATGGGCCTGAAACACCCAGGCAGGCGCAGGGTGCTGTTTGCTCTCTCGCCTTAGATTGTGCTACGATTTTCCTCCACGTGTTCACACTTGAATCTTGGCCCAAGCCAAGGGCAGTTACCAAAGAGAACGATAAGCAGCGGGAGTACGCCCGGCCTAGACTGCTCACGCAGGGGGGCACTGGCGCCCCGCAAGGCGCTGCTAACCGGCGCGGGGCCGCGCTCCGGCCACAGGGTCTTAACCGCACCTCTGTCCGCGGGAGGCGATTCCTTATCAGCCGCCTGACACCAATTCTCTAAGACTGGCTTGGAGACGGCCGACTACGTTCTGCTCCCGTGACGGGGGCGGTCTGAGCAAGGCCGGCTGGGAGGGCAGGGGCAGAACGGGGCTTCCCTCGGCGTGGGCCGCTCCCTCCCTCTCCCGCCTGGGAGCCCTCGGGCTCTGCGGGCGCGGCCGCCGCGCTCTCCCTTCCCGCCAGCAGGGGGCGCTGGCTCCCCGCGCGCCCTTGGGGGCGGGGCCGGAGCTGCCTCCTTGCAGCGGCTGGGTGGGGCCTGCCGGTCACCGCCAGGATGGAACGCGAGCGGGGAGCCGGGAAAAGGCAGGGGACGCAGAGGGGAAGGGCCCGCACCGACTGCCCCGACAGGCTGCCTGTGTTTTTATTTTTATCTTTCCCTACCTGTTCCTTGCTTTCCCCTTCACGCTCACACTAAGGCTTTGTTTAGACGTAGATAATAATTCTGTGCTGTGATGGAGGAGGCCAATGTGCAATATATAAACGGACCAGCTCAACACATGCCAGGACCCCCGACCCTTATCTGCGATTTCAGTTACCTGAGTTCAACCTCCATCCCAAAGCAGAGGGTCCTCCTTCTGGCAGATTGTCAGGAGGTCAATGGTAGCTTGAGGCCGCGTCGGAGTGCCTACCCATTGCCCTCCTCACCTCCTAAGTAGGCCATTTTCCCAGCTCACACTCTCACAAGAGGGAAAAGGGTGGGTGCGAGGCGAGATAAGGTGTTTTGAGAGAGACCACATGCAGGGGACCTGTAGTACAGCATACTGTTATAACTGTTCTGTTTTATTATTAGTTACTGTTAATCCCTTACTGTGCCTAATTCCTAAATTAAACTGTCATAGGTGTGTATGTACAGGAGACAACAGCATGTATTGTATTCAGTCCCATCCACTGTTTCACTGGGCTTTGGGGCGTGTGCCCTGCGGGTAAGGGGACTGCAGTAGCAGGAAAGTGAACGGAAGACATGCAAAACAAGAGCCCTGCCTTTCTATGAGGAGGCTCACTCCCCATTTCTGGGTTTCTGGCCCTGTGGTGCAGCTTTCGGCCACCCCCTGACCACTGTGCCAGGAGCAGGCAGGCGGGTAGACCGACCTCCATCTGGCTTCCCCACGTTCTCACAGACACCACTGGATCTGCGCCTGACGGGGTCCCAACTTGGGCTCAGGCAACGACTGAGCTCTGGCGTTTTCTACCAGTGGGACCCCGAGGTCACCCCCGAGGAAACCTGCTTGCACATCACCCTCCAGACGTCCTTGTCACCGTGGTGCAATGTCAGCTGAGACAGACAAGCAGACGGGGCAACTGTGAATTAGCAGCTGGGTTTCCTCCTGTGTGAAACGGGACCAGCCTCATTCTTCTCCTCGGCTGTCACTACCCCCTCCCATGGCTCCATGCTGCTGTGAATGCATTCTCTGCCTCTTGATTCTGCCACCCTGTTGTGAGCATGTGTGCCTGGCACTGCCCCTTCAAGGCCCTCAGCCATGTGGTGCCCACAACTGGCCTTCCAGCAGGGAAAAAGGAAAGGAAGTGGGGCCCATGTGAGCCCTGATGTCTCCCAAACTTGGCTCGCCTGTGGCCTGTCCCCTAACGGGCTGGCAAGTCTGCTGCCTGCTTAGCCCAGGCAGAGAACTCACAGATCACAGGGGCCTTCTCTTCTGTATCGTTGTCGTCCTCTTCCTCCTGCCTGGGCAACTTCCTGAATTCACAAAGGTCTGTCCGGAGCAGCTGGGAAACCGCCTCATGCACCAGACATGAGGCAAGTGGTAGTGGAGCATTCCTGGGGAGAGGAACAAGAAGTGAGGTGCGGCCGGCTCCTTGGCAGAAGCCAGGACCCCCGTGCCTGCCCAAATGCTCCAGATGGAGCCCTCGGGCTGCTTTCTGCTTAGGCAGGCCCTTCTGGAGGCAGAGCTGACTGCCTGCACCCCAATATATGCCTACAGTAAGCAGGTCAGCCGCTGGTCCTCAGGCAGCTGGACAGGACATTCACTCAACGCCATTTACTTGGGCCTGTGCTACACCAAGCGTGACCTGGGGCTGGTGGGGAGGGGGTGCACAGATGTGTTGAGTTGTGTCCACTGGCCCTGCAGCCAGTTTAAACTGCTCAATGTCCAGCCAGGTGACAGCTCCTGGTCACCAACACCATCTGGGGACCCTTGGGGGCTGGGGAGTGTTATGGGTTGAATTGTGTCCACCCAAATTCATATATTGAAGTTCTGACCTCCAGAGCCTCCAAATGTGTCCTTATTTGGAAACAGGGTTGCTGTAAATGCAATTAGTTAAAATGAGGTCATACTGGATAAGGTGGGCCCCCAATCCAGTAACACTGGCACCCTTATCCAAAGGGGAAATTCAGACACAGACATACAGGGAGAATGCCAGGGGACACTGTTATCAAGAAAGACACAAGCCCAACATGGGTCACTTCTGCCAGGCCAAGTCGCCAAACCAGGGCTTCATACCTAAGCTAACTGAACTGCAGTTTCAACCTCTCCCAGAAGTGTAATCAGTCAGGTATTTTCTGGTCAGCATAGGTAAGATAACATCCTTGCCTCCTCACACACATAGATGGCATCACAATGTCTGCAACATGATTTTTTTGGACACTAACTAAATGTATCCATGCCACACTGCTTTAAATATTGATAAACGTAGCCTCCTTTCTGCACATACCTCCTGCTGTAGAGAAAGTATCTGAGGTGCCTCCAAAGGAAGGGGCTTTCGTGCAGTTTATTGATCACACCGACAGGCACTCTCAGGCCCTGGGCCTAACAAAGACTAGGAATAAACTATCTTTCTTAAATACAACAGTTGTGTTGACTTCAGTCAGACAAGACAAAGGCAGAGACTGGAGTGCTGAGCCTATAAGCCACAGACTGCCAGCAAACGCCAGAAGCAGGTGCTGGGCAGGACACCCAGTGGGTTCTGCGTCTGCAGGGAGTCAGGTTCTGCTGAGGTCAAGGCCTAGGATCGGTGGGCAGTGGGGGATGCAACCTGGAGGAGTGTGCCCAGGAGGAGGGTGGTGGGACAGAGAGCAGCCAGAGAAGTGGGGTGATTCCCAAAGCAGATTCTGGGATGCAGGATGTGGCTGTCTGCTTTGAAGGTCAGACAGGTTGCCCAGAGAGAGCAGAGGGCTGGCAGGGCAGGGGTGGGAAGCAAGTAGAGGGGGGCAAATGGAAACTGGAGCCCAGAGGGCTGAGTGGCAGCTCCTGGGATGTCCTGGGTATGAGAGACTGAAGCTGGGGGAAGGAAAGACTATTGGAAATTCTCTGACATGCACATCTGTCCGTGGACACCAGGGCCTGTCCAGGCCCCTGCTGAGGGACCGGCTCCCATGCCGCATCATGGAAAGCCCTCCCTGGCTACCCTAAGCATAAGGGGTTGATTCTCCTGGTGACCCTACAGCCTTTAGGACAAGCCCTGACCCTGGAATCTGCTTCCCTGCCAGCTGGAGCCCCTCACAGGCTAGAGGACTTGTGTTTACTCCCAGGTGCCTATCCCTGAGGCCTGGGGCCAGTGCCCAGGGCAGTCAATGATTCTGTGCTGGGCAGACATGCCAACTTTTCTGAAGGCAAGGATCTCTCAACAGCCAGGGGCGTGGGTTCCGTCCCTCCAGGGACTGGGTACCTATGGTGTCTACAGATGGCCTGAGGAATCTAATGGGAGGAATTTGTGATTTTTTTTTAAATGAAAGGGTGACTCAGGGGAGAAGCCTCTGGAACTGCCTTTGAAAAACAACCAGCTAAGACATGAGAAATGAGTTCCTCTGCCGTTTGGGGATTTCCTGTCAACCGCCGGCTTTCCTTTTCTACGGCAGGGAGAGGGGCGCCTGCCCTCCTTGCTCCATGAGGTCGTGCTGTGGCTTCCTGCAGGCCCTCTGACGCTGCAGGGGCCAAGGAGGCAGCTTCCGGCCTGAGGACCCAGACAATGCCTGGCCTTGGGCCACAGGTCCCACTTCCTGGACACCTTCTGCCTCATCCAGGAGCCACCCGATGTGCCCTCGAGGCACTCAGGCCCTGCACGGGTCCCGCAGTGAACAAGAAGGGTGTGCAAGGCCCGGGTATTTAGAAACACTAGCCCTGCCCACTGCCCACCTCGCAGTTTCTAAGGAGTTCACATTCTAGCAGCAGAGATGAAAATGCATAAACAAGTGTGTGCTGCTCAGGGACTGAGATGTAACGCTGAGCCACTGATGACAAGGGGGAAGACAGGGTGCGAACTGCCTCGCCCTTGAACTCAGTGGGACCTGACTTTTGGGCAGTCTCATTCAAGATACCATTTCCAATATGAAAAACCTCCACGGACCAGTCTGCTCGGCCAGGTACACCCACGGGCCCAGGTGAAGGCCGCAGGGATGGCAACTCGCCTGGAGCCTGCCCAGAGTGAGCGTGTGGGGTGCTCATGACGCTGAGAGGCAGTTCAGACAACATGTGACCATGTGTGTGAATGTCCACATCTATGCAGGAAAGAAACACTAGAAAAGGACAAGAATAACGGAAAATACATCCATTAAGACTGGGAAAATATAAGACTTGAAAACATTACGCTTTAAGGTGCTTTAAAGGTGGATTCACAGGGGCCAAAGGGCCATGGGAGCTCTGCAGAGGCCTGCAGCACCCGCTCCAGCTTCGGGCTGAGGGGCCGCGGCCCCTGGTCTCTGCCCCACCGCTAGTGCTCTCAGGCCTGCTGTCATCTGATACACTGACGGGCGCCCACTCAACACCTGTGCGCAGGGCCCGCTGCCACCTTCCCGCCCATGGCCGGGCCCCCACTTCAACCACAGACAAGTCCTGGTTTTCCCCACATGTAGCTTGAGACACCTTACTCCATCATGATTAGATCTCTCACCCACAAGGCCCTGCATGGGGCAGACCCCTCCAACTGACCTCTGACCTCTCCAGCTCAGGGCCCTCCCTGGGGAGGAGGGTGGTCACCTCCCCTACGGCTGCCAGCCTGTCTTCTTCCTCACCCTCCCATTCCACTGCTGTAGAGCAAAACCAGCCCCACTGGTCCAGTGCCCTCCCCTCTGGGCATCTCCTTCGCCTGCTCCACCGCCTCCCCCCGACCCAGGGGACTGACTGCTCAGGCTGGTGCCCACCAAGGCCCGGCCCCCCAACTTCCCTTCTCCCCTCTGAGTGTAGCCACTGCCGCTGACCAGCTCCCTCTCCTCCCCTCGTGCTCCCAGACCTGAGGAAGGAGGCACGGCTCTGGGGAACCTCCCCTCCCCTCCCCACCTGCACCCCACCAGCACCCGGGCCCCCTCTGCTCCACTGATCCGCTTTATATCACCTGCGTGAAGTACTTCCTCAGACCAAAACAAAACAAGCCAGCAACGCCCTCTGTACACACCACCAGCCCCTGGGGACACCGGCATGGGCACTGCCTTCTGCGCTCCCTGGGGCTGTGGGGAACGCTGGGTGGACGTGATCCCGGAGCTGGCCCAGGACCTGTGGCCTTGCTGCGCTGACACGGCTCCCTCACTGCACGGGGTGAGTGAGAGTCATTGACTTTGCTGGGGCCTCGTGGTTCTAGCAAGAAAGCCCTCAGAGGTGTGGGGAGCCACAGAGGGGGCATACCCGGGACACTAAAATGCCAGGGTGCTGAGGCCGGGGTGGTTCCAACTTTAGGGGTGATGCTGTGAATTGGGCCCGTTGGCGGGGACCCTGGGAGGGAAGAGGTTCACCTGGAAACCAAGTGGCCTGCTGGCCCAACAGCCACGAGCCGCCCATATGGCTGCTGGCAGGCATGATACTATTTCCCTCAAAATCTGCTCAGTTGATTGTGTCCCCTCTGTGTGTGAGCTTCTTCACCTGTGAAATGCAGATGGCACCACCACCTCTTGGGTCATGCTGGCAAGGGGCGGTGTGGCCTGTGTGCTGGGCACATGGCCCGGCCCTGTACCCCCCTGAGCACGAGGCCTTGGGCCATGATGTTTTACCCCACCTGGCCTGTCTCCCTGTCTGTGAGGTGGGACAGAAACAGGACCTACCACTTAGCACCTGTCATGGGTTGAATCATGTCCCACAATGAGATACGTGGAAGTCCTAACCCACAGTGGCTCAGAATGTGCCCTTCATGGAAGGAGGGTCTTCGCAGGCATAAGGCGAGTTCGTACAGGAGCAGGGTGGGCCCCTAATCCAACAGGACTGGCATCCTTCCAAGGAGCGGAGACACAGACAGGGAGAAATGCCCCACGATGACACAGACATATGGTGGGAGGGGGGCGGTGCCACGTGACGATCCGGGCCAGACTGGAGTGATGTGCTTACAGGCCAAGTGGATTCTAAGAGGAAGGCCTGGGCCAGTTCTTCTCGACAGCCTTTGTTTGCGAGCACGGCCCTGCCAACACCTTGATCTCCGGCTTCTGGCCTCCAGAACATGAGACGGTGCGTTTCTGTTCTAAGCCGCCTAGTCTACGGTACTGTGACGGCCATCCCGGGAAGTGAATGCAGTGCTGTCCCCGGGATTCCCACACAGCGCAGGATGTGTGAGGTGAACAGCAGCTGCGGTCAAGGCTGGCACGTGCCCATCCCAGGTGCCCTGTTCCCATCCCGTGCAGCCCCGCCCATGGGTGCAAGGCCTACCTGCTGCCCAGGAAGCCCATCGCCAGCTCGACCAGCTCGCCCTCCACCTCCTCCGGGCTCAGCGCTGCCCCAGGGACCTTCCACGGCAGAGGGCTCTCCGGGCGTGGGGGTGCTGGGAAGTCGTGGAGGAAAGCATTCAGGAAGCCCAGGGTCTCCTCTGCCATCTGGCTGCTCTGCTGTGGGGCTCCACAGGCCATGCCCAGAGCATCCCGGGGGCCTCTGCCGGGGGCCCAGGTAGTCTTCACTCTGGGGAGAGGTGTGGGAGTCAGCAACTCACAGGACGATGGGCGCCCTGCTCTCGGTGTAGCTGCGCCCCGCGAGTGCACAGTGCCTTGCTTTCTCTTCCTCATTGAAGCAGCACATGGCAGGTGCCACACCAAGCCCAGCGCCTCAAGGCAGAAGGGCAGGGCCACCCGGCCTCACACATAGTTTAGGGGCCCTACTAAATGGGAATACGATCCTGGCCAGTGTCCTGACACAGGTGTGAGAGGGGACACTGGGGAGCCTGAGGAGTGGCTTCAGGAGACAGTTGGGAGCAGGGGCTGCATGGGTGTGTGGAAGGAGAAGTGAGAAGGAAGGAAGGGGTTTTTGGTGCAAGGTGGTTGGTCTGGCAAAAGGTGGTCAGGAGAGGGACACCAGGGTCAGGCCCCTGAGGCAGATAAACATGGCAGGTGAGGGGACTCGACCTGACCCTGGGACCTGGGCAGCCAGGAGGAGAGGCAGTGATCCCATCAGGCCTGTGAGCCTAGTAGTGGTGACGAGGGGGAAGAGGGACGCCTGCCAGGGAAGGAAAGAAGGGCCTGGGTGGTGGCAGGGCCAGTGTGCAGGGGAGGGCCAGCCCTGGGCTGTTTCAAGATGGACCAGTCGGGGAGCTTGGAGGCCCAAAGGCTGTGGAGCACCCCAGAGCGTGGGCAGGATAGAAGCAGAGGGTTAACCCAGGACAGACGGGGCATCTGGGACACGTCCGCTCCAGTCGGAGCAGTCCTGGGCCTGCTGAGCCCCGGCTGGAGGAAAGGCCGCAGAGCCCACCAGCCTGGGCACTCTACCCCATCTCCCGGGCTCTTCCTCCCCGCATCCTTAGGAAGGCTGGGCCTCACCAGCTGCCAGGCCCTGTGCACTGCCCAGGAATTCACACGCATGTCCCCTGGGAGCCAGGACAAGCCCCCAGTTCACAGATGGGAATACTGAGGCTGAGAGAGGAGCAGCCCTTTGCCCGAGAATCCATGATGGGGTCCAGGAGGAATTCTGTCGCAAGCTTGTCACTACCCCACCTCCTCCTCACGAGGGCCTCATCCACCTCTTGCCCCACCCTCCTGCAAGGTGGACCCCCAGTTCACCTCCCCCAGCTCAGAACCCAGGTGCACTGGCAGCCCGCCCACTCCCCTCCCCTGCCCCATTTCTCTGCCTCCTAGGTTCACATGCTAGCAAAGGGCTGTCTGCCAGGCTCCCAGAAGGCTGCCTGGACTCCTGCCTCCCACTCTCACTCCCCCAGACCCAAACGGACTGCGTGTCATCCTTCCAGGTCCCTCACTGCTCCACCCTTCCCCACTTGCTATCCAGGCCCCACTGTCCACCGCACACACCCAGGGTGTCGCCTCCCTGCCGCCACCCTCAGCACAGGCAGGCCCTTCCTCTCCGGATGGGACCTGCTCCCTCTCAGGGTTTCTCAGGGCTTCTGGGCCAGGACAGTCTTCAGAACAAATCCCCCAAGTTTATCCCCCAGGGAAATATACAACACCCTCTGACAGGATTCCTTAAGGGTCTAAGCAGCACCCCAAGTTCTAGGAGGGGAATTTAGGGATCAATTTCCTAGCCCTTCCCAGAGGGCAGGACCACAGGAGAGAATCTTTTGGAAGCTCTATGCCTGCAAACTTTGCCAAAGGGCAGCTGTGGACAGGGGTTTGGAGTTGGAGGATGGAGGGCGTTGCAAATGAGAAGAGGTGCAAGAGCTCACTGCCTGCCAAAGGGCACAGCCGGGTGCAGGGCCGGCCCTGTTGAGAGACACTAACTTAGTACATATTTCTGGAAGAATAAGGAAAAACACAGGAAGAGCATGGCAGTGAAGTGGAGAGGGCATGCTACTCTGATCAGCAGACGATTTGGAGGGAAAACGGGGGGACATTTTAGAAAACACAAAACCTTTCTCTTTCAGAGGCAGGAATCGAAAGTTAATTTTTTTTTAAGTAGACAGAAATAATATAGAAATAGGGGCATTTCTGATGGAAGGTTATGGGGACAGCCTTAAACTGTTATCCTTTATATTTGCTCATAAGTAGAAGTAAATATATTGCAGCCTGGGGTTACAGAAGGCAAACAGGTAAAAAGATGAAGAATGTAAACTAACTATGGAAAAGTCAGGATGAGAGCAGGACAGAAAACTACATTATAACCACAAGGATAAGACTGTGAAGTGGGGGAATCAGAAAAGCCCATGGGGGTGGTGAGGGTCAACCAGGGGGAAGGCTGGCAGGCCTGGGCAGCCATGGTGGCCAAGCTGCAGAGCACGAGAATCAAGCCAGGGAAAAACAACAAGATGGGTGAATTGCCCAGCAGGCTCGGGCACCCCGGGCAGAGAAACAGGCCCACCCGCCTCCTCCGCGCAGGAACAGCTCTGGCCTGATGATGCTCGGGGGAGAGAAATGCAAGTTATGCAGAGCTGCCCCCGGACAACAGCTAGCGCCCACAGGCCGAAAAATGCTGCCGGCTCAGTAAGATTATTAGTCCAGAAACAAATAGTCTATAGGCACTGAAATGGGAGGCTCAGAGTAGCTCATGCAAATGCCTGATTAGGATCAAACTGATAGAGCGGTCATCTCACTGACCCCCCCAGAACGCTCGGGAGGGCCCCAGTTTGAGAAATCCTGGCCCACAGTGTAAAGCAAAGAATCCAAGACACTTAACCTTTGCCCTCACTTGCTGGTGGCATCTGCTGACATTCTGGAATGCAGTGCCCTGTCTCTACTTCCAGCCTTGGGGTGCTGCTCCTTGGCCCTGAAGGCCCCCCTTGTCTGCCCGTTTCCCTGGGCCTTGCCCTGGCCCACCCCCGAGCCCAGGGTCCAGCATGGGCCTGGACAGCAGCCTATGACATGAGGGCTGAGTGGGGCCTGGGAGCGCAGGGGGGTGGGCAGCACAGGTGGCAGTGCTTGTGTGCACGCCTGGCCTGCATCTGCCAGGGAGCCGGCTGGCACACTCTCAGGGTCTGAGCCAGCTGCCCTCTGATAGACAGGAGGGTGGCCCAGAGCCACCCTGCCTGCGGAGAACTGACCGGGCTTGTTTCCGAATCACCGAGTGGAAGCGGGTGAGGGGGCACCAGGAGGCAGCTTTCCTTCCCCGGGGCCCATCTGGGGAAGAGGACAGGGCGATCGCCGTCCTTGCCTTCCTTTTCCAACAAACTGATCGCACAAGCTGTGACGGATGCCACACAAATATGAGCAAACAGTCCCAGCCCTGGGAGCCCAGGGCCTAGAGATAAAGGCACAAAGACCATTGGAGGAGAGATTCCTACCTCAAATGGGGCCTCGGAGGCAGCCCCCCGGAGTACTGGGAAGGCCTGGGGACGGTGCTGGGGCCCTGACCCGTTGTGAGACCAACAGAAGGGGACAGTCTCAGGAATGACGCAGTGGTCAGCTGGCCGGCAGTAAGACAAGGCAATCCAGCGTGAGGCAGAGCCAGGCCTGATGCAGGCTGCCAAGCTGGGTACCCTGGTGAGGGTTCCTGTGGGGCAGGGCTCGCATATGAGGCTGTGTGAGTCGCCGAGGATCCAGGGCGGGGGAGTGGGGGGGGCGCATGGGAGGAATGCAGAGCCACCAGCCCCCACTGCAGCCTGCCTCGGCTAGTCTGGCCAAATGCGGCCCTGCGGCTGGATGCTCCCGGCTCTGGGACCGTGCCGGACAACGTCTGCCAGGGCCCACGGCTGTCGCCGCTCTGAGGGAACCTACTGTACCCTCTTCTCACCTCCCAACACCTGTTACTTCCTCCTCTTTCCAGGTGACGGCTGCCGCAGAAGGGCCACGTAACCTCCCAACAGTTCCTCGGCAGGGTTCACACTAGCGAGTCCCACTGTGGGGCCCGGCTCCCGGCCACGGCAGAAACCCCTCACCGGTCGCCAGCCTCGGGTTCAGCCTCTCCCATGGCCCTGTCTCCCGTTTCTGCGCCCCCTGCCCTGGTGCAGCCCCTCAGCTCCGGTTCCCAGCCTTGCCTCAAGGCGCTCCCCTTTGCCCTCGGACCTCCCTGATCCAAGCTCTGCTTGGACTGTCACACCTTTGGGGTCCAGCTGGCTTCCGTGGTGCTACAGCTTCTGCTTGCACCTGACTTTTAAAAAGTCCATTTTTCTCTTTCCATTTAAAATATTTACATTCCTCTAATTTACCAGTTTTGACTCAATGAAGTTCAATTACTGTACATTTGTACAACTCATGACTTTGGTGGTACTGACAAAATACTTGTTGAGTCCTGCTTAGCTTCAGAACCCAAGTAAAGGAAAAAACAGCAACCCTCAGAACAGGAAACTGCATTCACTGCAACAAAAGTATTGTATTCATCATTAAACATTTTACTCCAAATGGAGAATCTTCTTTATTCATAAATAATCCCTGGGAAGAGTTTGGTGTAAACCCTTCCAGATGTTTTCCAATATATATTTCTTTCCTTTTAAATAATGTATGGTAAAATATACGTAAGTTTAACTTATCATTTTACCCACTTTTAAGTGCACAGTTCTGTGACATTAAGCACGTTCACATGGTTGTGCAACCACCACTTTTTATAGGCTCAACTTTTTCACTAGATTATGAGCTCCCTGAGGCCAGGGAGGCCACCCCCGTCTGTCCTCTTGGACACAGCAGGGCCCTTGGTGCCTGGCAGCTGGAAAGTGTGACGGCAAGAGGGAGCGTGCTGGCTTCCTTCCACCGCCACCAGTGGGTGGTGTGGGCTGAGATATGCAGCCTGAGAGCTGACACACTGTGCGGAGCACAGTGGGCAACAGAGAAAATATTTTACAGGCAGGCGTGGCTTCAGGCGGTATCTCAAAAGAATTCTACAAATGAACTTGTGCGGAGGTTTTCAGCCTTCAAAGTGGTATTTGTTCTGTTTACCTCTCACAACTATGCTGAGAAGCACATGGTATTAGGTCACATTGCAGATGAAGAAAAAGCTCAGAAAGGGTGAACAACCCGCCTAAGGCCACACAAGTAGGAAATGGCAAAGTTGGACTCAAACCGGGTCCTCCGATGCCTTTGTCACTTTCACCTGGGTTGCAGGAGGAAGAGTGAAATTTAGACATAGGCAAGATATGGGCATAAAGGCCAGAAGTGAGCTGGAGACCTCAGAGTGCCAGCCTCACATTCTATCTCCCATGGTGGGGGTACCGTTCAGCCCTCAGAACTTGCCCCAGGGTACGCCATGAGGACATGTGTCACTCAGGATATGTGTCACTTCCAGCTCGGTGGAAGGCTGTGGGGGAGAGGTCAATCACTATCCAACCAGACCCACTACATGTTAGGCCCTGTGTGGAAATCCTTACAGTCAGGGGCACAGAGAGGTTAAGTGGCCTGCCTGAGGCTACACAGCTGTGCGGGTGCAGCCCATCCCCGTCTCCCCGCTTCAGCTAAAACACCGTAAGTACGCTTGGGAGAGGGCCATGGGGTGGGGGCCCAAAGATGCAGGGGCTGACGGGGTAGGGTCAGGGCCCCTAGGAGGTGGGGGTGGTCAGGGGCTGGAGCCCAAGCAAATGGGGGTGCGTCACCCCTCAGCACCTTATTTTGCTTTACGGCCCTCAGCCCCCACCTGGCCTTGGCTCAGTCACCCCTGCCGGCCCGACTGCCCCCTAGTTCTGCACCTTTAGCTCCCCAGCCCCCGGGCTCCCCGCCTCGGGTTCCTCAGGTCCCCGGCTGCTCCCCCCACTCGTCAGCCCCCCACACGCCCCCCGAACCCTGGGTCTCCTCACCTCGGCCTCCTCAGGGCCCCGTTTCACCCCTGTACACCTCGGGCCCCCACCTGAGCCTCACCCCGGCGTCGTCAGCCCTCCGGGCCCGCGCCCCGAGCCTGCCCGCCCCAGGTCCCCGCGGCCTCACCTGCCGCTCCGCCACTCCGCGCCCCGCGAGCCGCTCCGGGCCGGCCCCGCCCACTTCCCGTCCGCGGCTCCGCGGGTGCTGCGCAGGCGCAGTCAGCCCCGGGCGGGCGGGGCCGGACCCCTGCTGCCCCCTGGCGGTGGCCTCCCGGCTCTTTCATTTTAGGTGGCGAAGAGAGCTGCGCTCCCCGCCGCGGGTAGAGGCCCGCCCATCCTGAGGTCTGGGTCCGCGCCGCTCACTGTGTGAAGTGGCTTCACTTCTCCAGGCTTGGGCTTGGCGCACATGCCGGAAAGCAATCTCTCTACCTCACAGCGCCCGGAAATTAAACAACGTGTGCTGTCATCTGGTTCAGGTGCAAAGCAGGATGCAGCCCAGGGCCCACCGTGCATCAGGCAAGAGGCACAGTGCCCACCATGCTTTTAGCAGCTGTGTAAGTTACCGATTGTTGCTAGGACATTACCACAAACTTACACAGTTTATTAGTCACAGTTTGGAGGTCAGAGAAGTCTGCAAGGTCCCGTGGGCTAAGTTCAAGGTATCAGCAGGATGCATTCTTTCTGGGAACTCTCGGTGGAAATGCACGGGACCTTCAGGTCCGCACACGAGCCCGAGGGAGTTAAGATCTCTGATGCCTCACTGCCAGCAGGGGTTTAGCGAAGCCGGGAACCTAACTAGCAGTTGGCTGATGTGAAAGGAAACCACCTGGGGAGGGGGTGGGTCTAGAAGGCAGGGGGTGTGCAGGCAGAGAGGCAGGGTGAGAGGGATGTGCCGGCTCACCCCATTCTCCTACACACGCTCCTAGATCCCACAACCCCTTGCTAGCGTGGTGTCCCTGAGCAAGGCTTGAGATCACATCTTATAACCTGTGACTTTGGACATGTTCCTTAGCTCACCTGAGCTCAGTTTCTTTACCATAAATATGGGACAATAGCAATCAACCTATCTCATAGGGTTGCTGGGATTTTGCATGGTTTCTCAAAGTGTCCCCGGGACCACTTGCATCAGAATGACTGTGGGGTGAAGTTTGAGAACCACAGTGCTGGTGTAGTGGTGCATGGGACAGGACGTCCCTCACTGTAAAGTGGAGTGCCCATGAAAGCTGATATACCTGAGAGCTTCCTCAGCTGGGGCCCACATTAGACTCTTTGGAACAGATTCTACTAGAGGCTGGTGGCTTAGAGAAGATGGCAAGGAGAGGCATTGCCACTTGGCATGGAGCTTGCCCATCGCCAGTGCAGGGCCAGCGACGTGCCTGTGAGATTACCTGTGCCCTATGGCCTGTCACCCCCCGTTACCCCAATCTACATCCCATCATGCCTCAGCTCCTGGCTCTTGGCTTTCACCTCTGTGAAAAGGTTCTCAACATCACCCATCCCACCCAGCCAATGAATTTTGAGTTTCTCTGCTTCTGACAAGGCTGCATCCTGGGCCAGGTGAGCAGAGCCCGGGGCTCCCGAGGTGCCCAGCTCGGGTTTTCCTCCTGCCTCCGCCCTCTGCCTGAACTCTCTCCTGGACCCTTATTTTGGAACCCAGCCCTGAGGCCGCTGTGACTCCCAAGGACCTCATGTGTCTGCAGGTAGTTGCAGCACCCCCACCCCCACCACCCCCCGCCTCCGTGATTCCACTGCTCTTGGCAAAGAAATGTGAACCCTCATCCCGGACTTACCAGGGCACTTTCAACGGGATGCCCACCTGGCCTCCTGTCCACAACAGGGCTGCCTTCTAATAGGGGGCCCTTGTACCCTTTGGCAGCTGCTGTCTTCAGGTCTTCAAGGGCCTGGAGGGGAGCAGGTTCCTATCTGCAGTGTGTGGAGGCTTCTCCTGTCTAGTAGCCCTGGAAGGGGTGCTACACTCAATTGAGCAAACACACTAGGCTACCTCAGTGCACCAAGGTCTCAAGGTGACAGGGGTGGGTGTTGTCAAGGGCAATAGTCTGTGTCCAGGCAATTCAACTGGCCAGCCATCCAGTCCCTGATGCTGTGAGCCATGTGCAAAGGCCTGGCTGGCAGGGGCTCTGCCCTGTGTCCCCTCAGAGCAGACCAGCCAGCAGCCACTGCTCTCCCCAGCCTCGAGGGTAGAGGCACAGACCCTGTGCAGGGGGCTCAGAAGGCAGTCCTGACCTAAAGCGGCCTCGTCTCTTCCTTGCCTCCTGGCTCCTGCAGCCATGCTGGAAGTAACAGCAGTGCTGGATGCCACTGGATAGTATGAACGAAGGGACCCAGAATGTGGACTCCAGCTTTGAAAGCTCAGACCTCGAAGGAGGTTACCACAGAGGACAACTGCAGTCACAGAAAGGAGCCCTTCATAATGAGCCCTACTTGAGACTGAGGCCTCGGGGGAGAGCTCTCCCCGCGAAGGAATGGGTGGTCCGTGCCCCTCAGAGCCCTCTGTTAGGGCTGCCTCCCCGCAGGGGTCCTGGAGCAGAAGGGGGTCTGGTCGCCTTCCTGTGGAGAGAAGGCCGTCTCTCCTTCTCTGATGGGGGCAGAGCGGTCACAGCCCAGGGCTGGGACTCTGCCCACCAGCACACGCGCCTGGTCAGTGCCCCAGACCGACGGGAGCAGGAGGGACGTGGGAGGAGCCCGGCCTTCCGAGCGTCATCCTGTGACGCCACCCCGGCAGCTGCGGGGCAAGCCTCCCCGAGGCGACACCTCCCCGCCTCCCTGCGCGTTCTCTTGGAGCTTCTAGCAGTTTCCCAGACAGGGTTCAGGGAAGAGCAGGGTGGGGGCCTCCAGGAGAGGGAGCCTGGCAGGTGCGGCGCCTGGGTGGAATGCTAGGCGAAGCCACAGGTTCACCTCTTCTCAGGGCCTTGTGTTCCAGTGTGAATCTACTGCCGAAGTAGGGAGCCTGCAGGCCAAACACTTCTGCTCTGATCCTCACACAGGTACGCCATGATACGGCTCGGACAGCCATTCCACTGAGCTCCCACAGCAAGCATGGGCAGGATGGCATCTCCAACACGGGGTGGACGTGCCACTGTCTAACGTGAGTGCTCCCCGTCGGGGGCTTGCCGTGGTTCTCCTGCCTGGCTCTCTCTGGTCAGTTACTGGCCTGCCTCTGTCTGAGGTGACGAGGGCTGTTTGACAACAGGAATCAGAACAGGCCCTGGGAGGCTGCCGGGGTCACACAGAGCTGCGCAGAGCTGCTGAGCGGGGAGTGTGGGGTCTGCCCTGGGCAGCGGGCTAGATGAAGGGCAGGGCCCAGTGAGGACCTCCCCCACCAGGGCTCCCCCCAGTGACACCTGTCTGGGTGAGGGGCTGCTGGGGCCTTTCTTCTGCACTCCAGGGCAGCCTCTCGCCTGAGCATATAGCTCCGGAGCTGCCATATGGCATGAGCTCCCATTCCCACTCTTGGTGGCCTCCCTGCTGGTACCACGGGCATGTGGGCAGAGCAGGGTCACTGGGGTATGGACAGAATAAAGGGAGAGGCAGGCAGGGGCCGGGGAGGAGCAATGAGATGGGCAGGGAGGACACTTCAACCCTCTGACTCCAGCAAAAGGTCCCGAGCTGTTTGTTCTAGAGAAGACAAAATGGGTTTAATCATTTCTGTGGTCCAAAGGACAACTGTTTGGAGCCCTGTCATACAAAGTAGGCAGCCAGGGCTGACATCTTGTCCTTCGGCCGCCTGGCACCAGGTTTTCCTGCAGGCCGCCGGCCCCGGCCCCGCCCTCGGCCCTGCCTCCCCCCTGGCCCACAGCGGTGCATGGGGTGGCAGGAGGCCGCATGCTTCAGCTCTACCAGCTCCTGGAAGACAGGGTCGCAGAAGACGCAGCCTGTATACTGTGTCTGGTCGCCCGGGAGTGGGGACTTGGTCTTGTTGAAGTCCACGCCGAGCAGGGCGGCCTCGCAGGCACTGCATGTGTCCGCGGACACCCGCACGCGGTGAGCGTTCTCAAAGCAGTGAGCCACCACGTTGCACTTGTTGCAGGCCACCTTCCACTTGGGGCCGGAGGTGGGGTCCAGCACCAGCACCCCGTTCTCGCACTCCACGCATTGGCCAATGCCCAGCATGCCTAGCGAGTGCTGGCAGGTGGGGTGTGTGCACTCATTGCAGCCCATGCCTGGCGGGGAGAGGGCAGCCCGTGATGCACACCTGCCCCCAGCCCGCCCCGGGCCTCACTGAGTGCCTCACACCCCAGGGCCCCTCATCCCAGCCGAAGAGCTCCTCTCAGCCTTCTTTGCTGCTGGTCCTGTGCTCTGCTTATCTAAAACTTCCAGCTTGGAGGCCCCCTTCCTCCAGGCTGACATCATTTCCGGAAGGCCCTCCTGGTGGCCTCCAGCTGTCCATGCTCCCTTCGCAACTCATTACCACTTGGCACATGGGGCCACTGGCTGCTCTGGAAGTGGCTGGAGGGCAGGGCTGGGCCTCAGCAACCCTGGCAGCCCAGACTCAGACATGCCAGTCCCACAGGGAAGACCTGAGTCAGGAGGGGTGGGCTGAGACCTCCTGAGGGCTCCCCAGACCTCCTGGTGAACATGGGTGGGTGCCTCATGCTTGCTGTCCCTCCTTCCTGTATGTATTTTGGGGTGATGACACCCCAGGGGCTGTGTGGCTTGCTGAGGAGGCAGCCCACTGGGCCCCAATCCCCCCTCAGACTCCGAGTCTGGTGTTCTCATCCCCGCCTGGGCACGCTCGCCTCTCTCCAGTGACAACTAGGAGGACAAAGGGCAGTGGTGGAGGCTGGCCAGGGGGGCTCCCCTGCATCCTCTCACTTCCCCTGGACCTGGAGGGGGCACTGCACCCCACTGCCCAGATCCCAAGTGAGCTGCCCACAGCTGCCCACCCAACTATGACCTGGACAGAGGGTGGCCGGCTGGCAGGTGAGCAGTGCCTAGTCGCGCCTGCGTGTCCCATCCCAGCACCAGCGAGCACAGAAGAGCCAGGGAGGGACCCTGGAGGCCAGCATGTTGTGAGGGGGGGCTGGCAGGGATGGCAGCCTGTCTCGGGAGGGAGCCCGGGCACGTGGCACTCACCTTTCTTCATGTCTCGGAAGGGCG